TTGAACATAACTGCAATTGTATTTAAAATTATCGAAAATTATATTTTCGATCTGATTTTAGTTCCGAAATATATATATATATATATATATATATATATATATATATATATATATATATATATATATATATATATATATATATATAGTCAGAAATACCTACGGCTTTGTTCACTTCCACCCACTGTCGGAAATTGAAATGAAATTTACAAATCCTTTCGATTCTAATCTGAATATATTTATTTTTGTATTTGTTTTTTTTTCTATTTTTCTATATTTCTATTTATATATATTTTTTTATATATATATATATATATATATATATATATATATATATATATATATATATATATATATATATATATATATATATATATATATATATATATATATATATATATATATACCTCATAAACCTATATATATATAACACCTATCACTAGGTTGAACTAAGAAAAGAAAAAAACTAGGGCTACTAAAAAGAGAGTGTATACAACACAAGAAATAATATGAAAACATATAATAATTTATTTAATTAGTTACAATTTTTTTTTCCGTTTTATAATTTGAAAAAATAGGTCGAAAGTGAGTCCGTTGGCCGATATAACCAATTCATGTCAATATTCATTATATAATTAATGGCTTATTGTGAAAATTGACTAGGCAGACTCACTACGTGCAACTACATGCACTTATTCTTATACCCTATTTTGATTTGTGACATAAATCATTAATGAATAAAACTGTGATTGAAGGCAAAGTATGTGAAACACGTATGCTTTTTTCTTTTTCTTTTTTTTTTTCTATTTTTTTTTTTTTTTTTTTTTTTTTGCGCAAATTAGTGCTAATTTTCGACTTATTTTTTCAATGATTTAAAAATATAATTAACGCGATATTGGTATTCTAAACTGAGACAATATAAAATAAAATAATTTTTTTTAAAAAAAAAGCAAGACAAATGCTTCTAGAAGCAATAGTCCATTTTTTTAGGAGGGAAGTGGTGTGGGTTGTTGAAATATTCCCACAAAAACTTTTGTTTTCTACTTTTTATTTTTTATTTATCTCTCTTTGTTGTTGTTTTTTATATTTTATTTTTATTTATGAAGACCTTTATCTTGAGTGGGCCCGGCTCCTAAAGTCTTGAAAGAATACAATTGGGCTAACTATAATGTTAAGACAGCCCGGAGTTATCTTGAGTAGCTACGGCCCAGAACAAATATTTTTTTATTGTGAAATAAATTGTTATTAAAAGTTAATTTACACAATTAAAAAAATTGAAAATACCTATTATTGTTTATAGTTGGTTACGAAATTTGGTTTAACAAAATTGAGAAAAATATAATCTATTATTGATTATTCGAACTTACATGCAATGCAATTCATGTCATTATCGAACGACATTTTATCCCCAACAAAAGTACATTGATACAATCGAGCAGAATATTAATTCAACTCAAGTAATTTGACTTTTTTAGTTGTTTATGAAACGGAAATATTTGTTCAAGTTTGTGACTCGTTAAGCGAACAAACCCCGAGCTCGCCCCTCGTTTTCTTAGCAATTATTATGTAATTGAAATTTTATCTTCATCTTGCAAGTTGCAACTTTTAAAACTTTAAAGTAGACTTGTAAGTTGTAACACCATATTTATTGGTTAATCAATGAAGAAATTTTGTAGACGATAGTTCTTTATTTGTGGAAAATGACAATATTATGGTAGAAAAGTATTTCTATTTACCAAAAACAAAACAAAAAAAAACATTATTTTTGGAAAATGACAAAAAATACTATCAAAATTGTCTGTCCACTCATTTTTATTAATTATTTTATGAAGGAACTTGCAGTAAAACACTATGCTGCACGGACACGGATACGTGGACACGGCGATACGCGGATACGGACACGGTGATACGGCATTTCCAAAAAATTAGGATACGGACACGCGGGGATACGCGTAAATATAAAAAATATAGGGGTATATTTATAAATAATAAAAATATAAGGGTACATTTATAAATTGTAAAAAATATGTAGGGTTGGACATGTGATTTTTATATTTGATATATATTATATTATTGCCACGTGTAATTCAATAATTTATTCGAATAATCGTGGGAATGAGCTCAAGGTAGTGATGAATTTGCTATGAACTAATAAATATTTATTTATTCAATATGTATTACTCTTCTTACTAAAAAAAAGACAAACACAAAAATAAAATGAAAGGATTTGAACTTTTGACTTTATTCTTAAAACAATTGATTTTTATTTTGGATTTTTTTTATTCTAGAAATTCCAAATCCAAATATCTGATCTTTTTTCCCATTTTGTTTCAAAAAATCTGCAATTACGATTTAATTAAGGGGCTCTTTGAGAAAACCCCCTCACTACTTTTTTTAATTGAGAGAGGCCCAAAATATTTTAGTCCATTTGAGAAAAGTCCACACCCATTTTCAGCTATTACATTTTCCAGCTTTACCCCCGCCTGCCACCTCATCACTGGGTCAGCGCTCCAGGATTTTTTTTTTTTTTCCGTTTTTTTAATCGACTATGGAGCATAGTCGATTAGTCTTAAATCGACTATGCTTCATAGTCGATTAAGGAAAATCTTTAATTTTTTAATTTTTTTTTGTTTTTAATTTTGTTTTTTAAATTTTTTTTGGTTTTTTTAATTTTTTTCTCTACCAGGTTTATTAATGCATAGTCGATTAAAATTTTAGCTATTAAAAATAATAAATTATAATTACAAAAAAAATGCAAAATCAACTATATTTAAAAAAAATATACAAACATTGTAATTGATTTATACATTGGAATCAATAAACAAAAAAACAAAAAAAAAAAAAAAAATTAACAACTGGAGTCGGTTAACCTTAATCGACTACTGAACATAGTCGATTAAGCCTTAATCGACTATTGAACATAGTCGATTAAACACACGTAGTCGATTAAGGCCCTGCCTGCGCGAATTTCTTTTTCTGCACGAATTCAGCAAACCCTGCGCGAATTTCTTTTTCTGCACGAATTCAGCAAACCCATCGCAATCCTCCACCCAAAACCGTCGCCGCCAGCAGACCCATCGCAATCCTCCACCCAAAACCGCCGCCACCAACAGACCCATCGCAATCCTCCACTCAAAACCACCGCCACAACCATCATTACCATCACCATCCACGCACACATACGCCGCCGATAGCAGACCTATCGCAATCCTCCACCCAAAATCGCCGCCGGTAGCAGACCCGTTGCTCAAAGACGAGCCTTGTGGAGTGTAGAAATTGTATCGTGGCTCTCGTCGTCGGAGGACGACAACGACGGCGGCGAGTTTATGATCGGCGGTGGGGGAGGCTGCTTCGTCAGCGGCGGCAGGGGCTGGAGGTCGGGGCTGGGTCTGTAACGGTTGGATTTTTTCCCCGAGTTTAGTTTCCGGTACGGCGAGCCGGTGATGTCGGTGGTGTCGCTGGTTATGCTTCTGGTTGATGGGTCCTGTTCCGATGTAAAAGAAAAGAGAGAGAGAATGGCATGGGTTAGAGTAATAAGGGTGGTTTGGGGATTATTAAATAATATATGGGTAGAATATTAGGTAAGGGGGTTTTCACTAATTATTTTTGGAAGGGGGAGTTTTCTTAACACATTTACCTAGATGAGGGGGGTATTGCTAATTATCCCTTTAATTTAATTAAAAAATAATAAAATAATAATAAATAGCTACAAACTCTCGACCACACCTCCCTCACCCCCAAATCCTACAGCTCAGCTCCGCAGCACGAACTGCACTATACTTTCCACTCTTCCAAAATTACCCCTCACAAACTCCCTTATTCACTACCAAACCACTCATCTATCAGAAAGTCAACAATGGCAGTCTTGGGAATCCACGTCTAACATAACTGCTTCTTAGGAATTTTCAACTACCCTCTACTTAATCAAAAAATCAAAACAAAGTTTGAATTAAAAGAGAAAGCAGAAGAAAAATCACAAGGTATAATTTCTTACTCTTTTTCTCTGCTATATATAAACATCATTCGATATTAATCGGCAATTCTAAACCCGGAAGATATCGAATTCAGGATCGGTGCGTCGAATTACGATGGATGCCCCTGTCGAAGGAGGATACGAAAGAGCAAGACGATCGAAGATAACCCGAGTTCTTGAATTCGCAGCAATTTTAGCTATATGGATATTGTTGCTATATCAAATTAACAACCCCCGCCACGTTAAGTATTGTTCGTTGATCGGGCGCAAGGCGAATATGGGACGAAATTTTAGTCTTGATCAAGGAAGTATTGGAGTTCAGCTCGACGGAATCGGCTGGTTAGTTAGTTTTGACGACGAGAACGGCGTTCCACCTGGCGTTTTATGATGTACGAGATAGTCGAATTGTGTCGTGTGATTGAAATGTTCGCTATAAGTGAGAAAATTCTAAGTGAATTTATATTCTATATCGGGTTCGTGTATATCTTGCTTGACGTTATTTGTACACTTCATTTCGTTTTTTTTTTTTAATTATTATTATTATTATTTAATTCAGTCGTGTTACAAATTAGAAAAGTAGGAGATGATCTAAGTCTCGTAGAACTTAATTAATCAAAAAATAATTAAGTTCATTTTTGGAGTTTAGATGTACTCGACTTACTTTTAAGTGTACCGTGTGACACAAATTCGAAAGGTCAAATGTTTGTCAACCAACTAAATTCAAATCCAACATACTACATGTAAATATAACTGTTGGCGCCTTATTTCCGGCTATTGAAGATCGAGGAAATCCGCCAAGTTTTGGAATTAAAAGATTAACAAAGATTTGTTTTCCATATTTATTTTGGAATTTATTAGAGTCCTATTCTTATAATACTTTTATTAGGACTTAGATTTATTTCCATGTATTTTATTCTAGTTAGGTATCTTTTGTACTTATCTAGAATAGAAGTAGAAATCAACTAGGATTCTATTACCTAGTTAAATGGATTTCTTAGGGCCCAAGTTAGGTCTTAGGGCTTATTTTCGTGGCTATATAAGCCTCCAAGACATACAAGAACCGTGGGCATTATTTGGGAGAAAAACCACTTCATAGCATAGAAGTTTTGCCAAGGCGTTCTGCGGAGCAGGACTGTGCCATCGTTGCACTGTGCCATCGCTGTGTGTGCCAATATATACAGATCTGCTGTATAGATCTCAAGGGAGATCAGCCGCGTTTCTGAAGGGAGTTCAGGCCTGAAGGGAGTTCGAGGCACGCGGTGTGGAGCTGCTGTTGGAAGAGACACGGAGTTCAAGTTGTGTACAAGAACGGCATATTACATAAAGAGGGAGTCTTTAGTGTTTTTAATAAGTCCTATTAATGTACACTGTAAATCTGAACTAGTGAAATCGTGTTTGCAGGTCCACGTGGATGTAGGGCACATTTGTGTCTGAACCACATTAATTTCTTGTGTTCATTTATTCTGCTTTTAATAGATTTATAACTGTGTTAACACAAGAATTATAGTTGTAACTGAATACTGTTTCCACAACTTAACTGTTACAACTTAGGTTAATTGATTTTTATAGGCATATAAATCAACAATTGGCATCAAGAGCCTCTCACTAGATATACATAGTGTGTGATTTTGGGAATTTGATTTATTTGCCTTTTGCCTTCCATAGGAACTATGAATGCTCATATGGAAGGTGGTTCCACGACTCGCCCACCACTGCTTACTGGAACCAATTACTCTTATTGGAAGGCCAAGATGAAGATGTTCATCAAGTCAATGGATGAAGATGCATGGCGCACAGTTCTGACTGGCTGGAAACGACCTGTTGCCATAGATGAAAAATGAATTCAAACTGAGAAACATGAAAAAGACTGGAGCAAAACTGAGCAGTTTGCCGCAAATATGAATTCCAAAGCATTGAATGCCATATTCAATGGAGTTGATATCAATCAATTCAAAATCATCTCAGCATGTGAGTGTGCCAAAGAAGCATGGGAAAAATTACAAACAGCTTATGAGGGGACAACCTCTGTTCGATTATCAAAACTTCAGATGCTTGCTACTCGTTTTGAGGATCTTCGGATGGAGGAAACTGAAACCGTGAGCGATTTCAACTCCAAATTATGCGACATCGCAAATGAAGCCCATGGCCTCGGTGAAACTTACCCTGAAGTAAAACTTGTTCGTAAAGTGCTAAGATCTATGCCAGACCGGTTCGCATATAAGGTGACTGCTCTAGAGGAAGCAAGTGATGTGGACTCATTGCGGCTTGAAGATCTGATCGGAAATCTACAGACCTTTGAAAACAAGCTGAACATCAGTAGAATGGATAAAGAGAGAAAAATCGCGTTACAAACTGTGTCTGTTGCGACACCATCCGTGCCCTCAGCTCCCATGACAGCACTCGAAGTCAAGCTAACAAAATCCATGTCTTTAATAGCCAAAAACTTCGGAAAACTCGTGAAAATGAATGGACATCCAAGAAGTCCTACAAACAAGCAAGAAGTTAGGAAGGGGATTCGATGTAGAGAATGTCGTGGCTATGGTCATATTCAAGCTGAATGTGCAAACACTCACAAGAAGCAAGGAAAATCACTTGCTACAACCTGGAGTGACGATAACTTTGAATCTGATGATGAAAGTGAAGCAAGTGATGCTGAAACAAGTATTGACTTCTGTGGTACATGCAGGGTTACTGGTGTGACACAAAATGTTGTCACATGCACTGAGCCACCACACCTCAGGTATGCTACTCGTAATCTCGAGAATCATAGAAATTTAAACACAATTTTTTTGCCCACAGGAAAAGAAGATTCAGAGGATGATGAAGAATGCTCCATTGAGATGATTCAACAGCAACTGAATGATCTTCTAAAGCAATGTCATGAGGTTGGTGATGAAAACAAGCGTTTGAAGGAGAAAGTAAAGGAACTAGAAGAGGAGAATAAAGCAGTTGAAGTCAACCTGAAGGCCAAAATCGATGAGCTTGAATTGGAAAATGAGGTACTGGAGGTAAAACGGGATTTTGTTTTGAAAGATATTGACAATCTAAAAGAATTGCTGAGACATTTGCGAAACAACGATTGCAATAAGACAAGGCAGATCAAGAAAAACCCTGAACCCTGCCTCAACCTTAAGTGTGACAACTCCCCTGTCCCAACAACGTTAGAGGCATCAGTCAGTAAGTTAAATCGCACTACGATTCTTCCTTCAAACAGGTTAGATGAAATTTTAAATGCTCATCCCTCAAATCCTGATAAACTTGGTCTTGGCTATATTGGGAGTAAGTTCGATGGTAAACCTAATCCAAATCGAAAAATTAATTTTGTGAATAATACTGTCAAACCTACTCCACAACATGTTGCCTCACAGTCTTATACAAAAAAGTTTGTGCCAACTTGTCATTTATGTCACAAAGTAGGACATGTTAGGCCAAAATGCTTTAAAAGATGGAAATTGATAAATAAGAGTTTAGCATATCAATCATCCAATTCCGCTGCATGGGATCACAATTCCCAAAGAAAATACTCTGATAATAAATGGATGAATAAGTATAATGCAAACTGCTTTCCTGCTATTCTTTCTTTAAAAGCATGTACTACGAACTCTTGGTATTTTGATAGTGGTTGCTCCAAGCATATGATAGGTGTACCTAATTACTTAAAGAACCTGCAAAATTTGTCTGGTGGACAAGTTACTCTTGGTGATGGAAACAAGGCCTTTGTGAAAGGAGAAGGTAACTTGGATGTTGGAGGATTACCTAACCTTGACAACGTTCTGTATGTAGAGGGTTTGAAATTAAACCTACTCAGCGTAAGTCAGCTATGTGATCTATACGACTCAGTGTTGTTCACCAAGCGTAAGTGTGAAGTGTTTGATCGAAACCACATGTGTGTTCTATCTGGTTATAGATCCTCTGATAATTGTTATAAAATTGATCAAACTGACCAAGTTGAACAGTGTCCCCTCGCCACCTCTGATATCACAGATAAGTGTTATCATCGACTGGGGGATTTGAATTTTCAGGATCTAATACGAAATATCAATGCAGGTTGTGTGAAAGGTGTTTCCCAACTAAACTCCAATACACCAGATTTATGTGGCGAATTTCTAATGGGGAAACAAACTGAGAGCATTGGAAGAGAAATACCAGAAGACAAAATCACAGAAGTATCAGTGCCGACATCTTATGTCACAACTGAAGATGTTACCACTGGTAAAGAAGGAATGAAAACCTGCAATAAACCCAAGGTTGACTGCCAGGAAATGGTCAGGTATGTCTATCTCACTTCCATTGTTGAACCAAAAAACATCAAAGAAGCAATTCTTGATGAATTTTGGGTGTTAGCCAAGCTTGAGGAGCTTGAGCAGTTTTCTCGAAATAACATGTGGGAACTGGTTCTGAGCAATGACAAGATAAAGCAACTAGATGATGAGATATTTATCTCACAGAGCAAATATGCCAAGAACGTGGTAAGTAAATTTGGGTTGAAAGAGGCAAAGTCCTTAACAACACGAATGACCTCAATTGAGAAGTTGGGACGAGATTGTGACGGCACAGACGTTGGTTCCACACTATACAGGAGCTTGATAGGAAGTTTGTTTTATCTTTATGCTAATAGATATGATATTTGTTTCAGTGTAGGTATTTGTGCTAGGTACCAAGCAAGCCCTAAAGAGAGTCATTTGAGTGTTGTAACGCGCATTATCCGATGTGTTAGTGGAACACCCCAATTGAGAAAATGGTATTCAAAAGATACTAACAATTGTCTTGCAGGGAACAGTGATGCTGACTGGACATGAGATGTGGATGACAGAAAAAACATCACAGGAGGTTGTTTCTACATGGGTAACAATTTGGTATCTTGCTACAATAAGAAACAAAATTCCATTTCCTTATCTAATGCTGCGTGTGAATACATAGCTGTAGGTAGCTGTTGCACTCAACTCTTTTGGATGCAACATATGTTAAATAACTATGGCTTTCGTGAAAAAGAGTTGCATGTCTTTTGTGATAATGAGAGTGCCATAAATATTTCAAAAAATCATGTTCAACATTCTAGGACAAAACATATAGATATTCGTCTTCATTTCATCAGGCAATTAGTTGAGCAGAAACGTGTGACTATAGATTATGTGTCCACAGACAATCAACTAGCTGATATTTTCACAAAGCCTCTTGATTTCCTTAGGTTTGATTCCTTGCGTAAAGCGCTTGGAATTTTCCATGTGCAAAACTGAATTTTCTATAATAGTGCAATTAATACTTGTGTCCGGATTGCACTTGATTTTTTTCCTCGGACATTATATGTGTCACCTGCTCATGTGACATCATTTTTGGGAACAGTAATGATGGGAGTTTTCATTTTGACTAATGGTTGTTTGTTAGTTTTTGTGAATTAATTTTTGTTTCCACATTTAGCCATGATAGAAGTGTGATGCCCCCTCTATCGGGAGTGATCAATGTCTATGACCTCATTCATCTC